AAATGAATAATGAAATAGTGGGATCAAAAGTGGGAAAGATGGCGAGCGAGGGAGAGAGAGAGATAGAGAGAGAGGACCGGCAAGCGGGAAGTGGGGCAAGCCAAGGTGGGGAGAGCTGAGGATAGCGAAGGAGAGCAAAGATGACGGCGATGAAAGGGACGGAAAGTAGGCTGTAGATAATAAAATGAGAAAAAGCTGGTTTTGTCTCACAGTCTGTTTACTATTATCTTTGATAGCATCAATCGTTAGTTCCTTTCGCCGCCGCTTCATAGCGACCAGGCCAAGGGAGTAGTCCATTTCTTGACCTTGCATTCATCCGCATTCTGTGAGGCTTGGAAGAAGTACTTTGTTAGACTCACACAGATTTGACTCATGAAATGCTTATAAACGCTGGCGTCTAGCGAGCTATCGAGGGAAGCTGGGGTCATGAGGAAGGGCCATTACAAGAGATTTAGCTCTGCTTGCAAACGAAGGCGAGTGACTTGCAGGTGAAGGAGCCCAGTGGGATCTGATGTAGGGACAAAGTTTGCTGTTGAGGCGACTATAGACACTAGTTTTGTTCTTCGAAAATATGAACAAGAGCTGTATTTGAAGACCTCCTTAGTGATTTATCGTGATATGACTTTTCAGTTCTAAGGGAAAGTTGGTTGGAAGCAATTCGTACAGGGGCTTCATCTGCAACCGAAGGAGGATTGATCGAAACTTGGTCTTGTTGTCAGGGCGACGATGTAGAGCGCACCTAGTCCAAAGTCGTCTGCCATAGTAGTTGTCATGATTCCCAGCATCTGAAAATGGACTTGATACATTCTCAAACGTTTCACCGGCATCATCAGTGACGACGAGTTCGTAGCTTGGTGCTGAGAATGGCATAGCTCACTGATGATGCCGACTACGATTCCGGCGAAATGTTTGAGAATGTACCAAATCCACTGTCTGATGCTGGGAATCATGACAACTACCATGGCAGACGACTTTGGACTAGGAGCGTTCTACATCGTCGCCCTGACAACAAGACCAAGTTGCGACAACAAGGTCAACCTACCTCTATCAATCGCAAGGAGACTGCGACCTTAACAGAGGCCACAACATCTTTGTCTTCATATATTCTATTAAACGAAGGAGGATTGCCTAGTAATGAAGATTAATGGATGTTGCGAGGAACTCTTTGGCTCGCTGTTCTGCCACCCCGACGATCTTGTGCAAAGCTGTCGTCTTTCAGGTGGCAGATATCTTTAGATCCAGAAACCATAGTGGCCATCAATTTATTGGTTTGTATGTATAATAAAGAATTCTGAAAGGCATAGTACATGTTGATTGGGGTCGAAGATGTCTTTGGAGGATCCAGCATTGTTGACCTCACGACAGTCCTTTTCTAGTTTCCGGTGAGACCAACTTTTCAGGAGACTATAGACACTAGTTTTGTCCCTCGAAAATATAAAGAAGAACTGCATTTGAAGACCTCCTTAGTGATTTATCGTGATATGACTTTGCAGTTCTAAGTAAAGGTTCGTAAAGTGGCTTCATCTGCAACCGAAGTAGGATTGATAGAAGTGAATTGACCTCGTTGTCGCAACTTGGTCTTGTTGTCAGGGCGACTTAGTAGAGCACACCTAGTCCGGAATCGTCTGCCATAGTAGTTGCCGTGATTCCCAGAATACCATATCAGAATAAGAATCAAAAAATTTTTGGCCGATAAAAATCCTCCATCGTAATCTCGTGGGATCGACATTTGAATGTCTTCATCGCACACTTTCACTCGAGATGAAAGTGAGCTCAATAGTAACAAAAATGTCGTTAGGGCTGAAACAGCCAGACTCTAGTACAGACCATCGAGAGATGCTATAAGTTTCAGACTGGACAATCAGCCTAAAGTTGAACTCTCCTAAACTCCAGACAGCCATAGTGTAGGCTGCCTCTTTTGACAGTTTTGACATAACCCAAAATTATTTCGGCAACCAAACAAGTAATTAGGTGATTCCGACAACTGACCTGTGCCCAATCGCGCCATTAGTGAAGCTACAAGACTATTTCCTCCAACCCACTTTAGGATTGTTTCGACTTGAGGTTTCCAAAGTGTCGTCGTCACCCAATCGGCCCTACTAGTAAAGATAAGTCCTGACAGTCTAATTGTTTGCATTCCACCATCCTGCCGTCGGCTAAACTCAACTCCTCTCAGCCCCACTCCACTCTGACCGACTTCTCTTTACTTAATGACACACTCCGAAAAGAAAACACAAAATTCTAACCGACTCCAGCTAGAATATAGACAGAGAGAGTATAGAATGTCTATATTATTCTATGTCATACTATATACTGCACTATGTTCTGTTTAGCTAAATTCCATCTCATGCTGACATTGGACATCTTAAATCCTCAACAAAAACCACCCCAATCGCGTCAGCTATCTGTGCATCATAGTAACAATTCAGGGTCTATCCGCTCGTCAGCTTCCTCAACTTCAATATATTCTTCATGAGTTTATATTCTACATCTTTTCAATCTATTAATTATTGGTCGGCATGAGAACCCAGCCACCAGGCTTGTTTCTTTGCCATATTCTTGAAGTGCATAACCATACCAGCATCTCATTTAATTGAACTCTAGTAGACTATTTTAATTAACGTGACTAAACTCTACTCTAATCTACTATACTCTATGCTACTCTACTCTACTCTACTCTA